TGCTTTCTCGATGCTTTACAATAACATTTTAATTTCTTCTTTTTTAAAAGCCTGCCGTACGGGTTAGGTCTAAGAACAGGAAATTAGGTTTAGTTTTACACAAGCAGGAAAAAGATATTTTTCTGTGTGTGTTATACCGCAATTAATTTAGGACAGACTGTGGGATAAAGTTTCAAATCGTTGTTTTCTCGGAGGCCACAAATTGAATAATTTTTTTTAGTCTAAATAAAATCTGAAAAAAGCATTCACAGAAAGAGGAGAGGTAATAGAGTTATTTAACTTGACCCATGAAACAGATGCTAACAACTAGTGAACAAAAGCAACAGATAAACAAAAGAAGACAGTGGAATTAGTGCATAGTGCGTAGTATTCTACTCCCTTTCTCACGGGTCAAGTAAAATCTTTCTTGACTAAAGCCCTAAAATTCACAAGGATATTTTGGGTTAAAAAGGGAAAAGAAGTTAAGGAATCAAAGGGGATCGATGGCCTCTTGTAGACGTCGATTATTTCTAGTCACTTAGGATAAAGGATCGATATCTCCGTGCCGATGACGGATACACCGAATGAACATTCCGAAAATCACACAAATAATAATAGGAACAGTGATTAATTACTATCCACTCTGTGTACATGCGCTGGTGTGCGGTAACTGACCTGATGCAAAAACCCAAGAGATGACTTGGTATAACGACCGAAGCCTGTATGCCTTATACAATTCCGGGATACAATTGTACGANCCATGGTGCATTGAGCCGTAATACATTATCCAATTGGTTTTTGACGTCATCACTTTAAAGATGGATGCATCGAGTAAACAACTCCTTCAAGCTTCCATCTTTGGGGAAGATACAGACGTGATTTATTTGCACTCTTGCGATTTCAATACGTAGTTCTACTTTTCGGTACATTCTCTGCAATTTTACGGCTGAATGTGGTCTTCGGCCAATTCATTTTTGTCAGTTCTTTGGTGGGGAGGTGTTAGTATATGTTACCGGCTTACAGGTGAACTTTTGATAAACTCGACGGCGTGAGATTTCTTTTTATTGTACAGGTTATTGAAAACTTTGAAAACTTTACTCTATTGTCAAGGAAATTACGTTTTGAAAAGGGATTTTATTTATTTATAAATGCTTCATAGAAGTTTAATTCATTTTGATATCGGTGTTTAAAGAAAAATTACAAAATGTGCCCCGATTAGAGATGGCGTGTTTTTGCCTTGAATAAATTTTGCCGCGTTCTCAGCCCCTTTTTACTTGCGTAAACGGATCCTCGATCTAGTTAGTGTTCCGCGAGTGGATTTTTTTCAATAACATTTTCAAGAAATTTCTTTGTCTATTGTGTTGTGTTTGTTCATTCATAACTTTGGCTCAAAACACGATCGTGAGACTATAACATCCTAGTTGACTTTTATGCTACTCATATTACAAGCATCACTTCTGCCATAGTTTGCGATGAATTTTTGGGCACTTTTCGATACACGCGCGCGCAGTAATGAATTTTATTTGAAAATATGTTTTACTAATTATTGCTTCGACGAAGGAGACGCTTCCTGATTGAGTCGTTGGCTTTTCTGTGTGTTCGTGGGCGGCCTGTGCACGTTCCATGCGCGAGAAGTCGAGAAAAGAGGTTGTCGGGTGTGTCGGTTCCAAATCTGCGCCATCTTAATACGTCACAATAGCATCCAACATGCCGTGCGTGTCGTGCGCCATTTTGTAGCGTCATGTTTGCGTCACTATAGTATCCATCATGCCCATCGCGTTCGGTTCCCAGCGCGCGTTTTGCAACCTGTGGATCTATGCCATAGGGTACCCACGCTCTAGCCTACGTAGCATGGCGGTTTTGTAGGGAGAAAAATAACCCGCCCCGATCTTCTCGCGATTTCTCGGTCCTCTCCCGCCTGACCGCCCGCCTATATTACTTAACGCGCCCAACCCAAACCGCCATGCTACGCAGGCTACCCACGTTCTTAAAATTTGTTCTATTCTTGAAACTAATGAAAGGAAGTTAGCTTTTACGTGTTCTTTGCAGGAAGTTGAATTTTTACGGATAGTGCGATCTTCATATTTTAGTTGTACCTTAAATTAAAGCTACGCTAAGCATGGATAATTATGCCGTGCGTAATTCTTCTACTGTCTGCTATCCACCGACCAAAATCGCCGATACCGTTCGATGTTGTGCGTTATTCGCTTTTAAAGCTGCAAGGATTGCCTTTTCAAACACCGACCAAAAGAGAAAATTGAGGTGGACTTTCTCGAAACAAATTTATTGTTTCCGTCGTAAGCTTCTTTCACGTACAGCTCAGCGACAACATTTCCGAAATCTGGTCGCCTATAATACTTCAGTTTAGAGGCGAAATTACGATCACACAGGTTTTCGATGAGAACATATATTTCTTCCTTGGCAAAGACAGTAAAGTTCATGCTCTTGCCAAAACCTGTTGGCAAGCTTCAATAGGCCAATTAAATAAGATGAAAGAAGGATTAAAATTATTATAGTTTCCCAGAAACTCGACTATTTTAGTAGGAAAGTAACACATTTCTTGAAGTTCCCGACCGTGACAGTGAAGATAACACCTTCATCATTAAAATCCAGCTCTCTTTGTCGTAAAAATAGGGCATTTAATTGTACCACACAACTAAATGCATTAATAGCTTGGAAAATTCGCTCAGTATATCAATTCAGTGCCAATCAAAAGAAATGAAATAAAACAAACTCACTTCAAGTCGTCAAACAAGGTCTTTTGAGAGGTCGAAAAATCATCTCCGACGCTCACGATGCATCCAAAATGGCCACGTTACACGCAAAAAAAAAAACACGAAAAATTGCCGCATGGAATCATGGGAAGACTGCATCTGCGTCCGCCCGTCCGTCCTCACCAGAGGCATACGAATGTAATATATAAATTCAGCCAGGGCTAAAAGCGAAGCTCTCGTTAATCTACTTATAATTTAATCGAACTGAAAATAAAATCGAGCACTGCTAAACGGTGACGGGCGATGAGAAGTACAAAAAAAAAAATTAATAGTCTAATTTTAAGAGAGGATAAACTCTTGTCTGATCAGCAAGAAAAAAAATTGCACGTGCAGCACACTTTTCTTTTACATTTCTTAGCCATTTTTTTTTTCTTTCATGACCACAAAGTGGAAATTTCTAGTTAAACAAAAGCAAATGTCGTATGTGCTCACCAAAGATTTTGTTCCTGTTTACCTTTTTTGTGTTTTTTTTTCCCCTGCCGCTCACTTTTACCTTGCTGGCTTCTCCTTGCTGACCGCTAGCATTTCTAACTTTCTCACCGCCGATATAAAATTTTGACGTAAATTTTCCTACAAAATTTTTCCCCTTTGTTGTTATCTTTCGCTTTAGCTCATTCTCTGTTATTCACGTCAGTGTAGACGTAAAAACTTAGTCGAAAAAAGGATCGACTTTCGTAGTATTTTTTTTCTCTCTAAATGTCCTGGTGGCCACACGATTTCGCGCCAAAAAGCTCGAGTCCCGGGGTTGCCTTACCAGTCGATTGATTTATTTTACATTTATATGCCTGTGGTGTGGATGGACGCGTGGGCGAGCGCGGAATGTACGGTTACCTGACTACCAGAATTTCTCGGATGTATAGATAACCAAATTTTCTTACCCATTCACCATTTTCACTTAGACCATAATGCACCTTGTTTACCTCCCAAAATTTGGCATAACCATTGTCTTCGATTTCTCTCTGGGACGACTGTAATATTCAGGAGAAATTAAAAACAATGGATAATGCAAAATTTGGGAGGGGGGGAGGGGGGAGCGGTGTAAACAAGATAAATATGGACTTGTGAAAATGGTGAATAGTGATCCGCTGCGCGCTTCGCGAGCGCGAGAACTCTACGAAAATAACTCAATCAACAACCAAATGCAACCACAATGCAACTCGACTCTCTTGAGTTTGTTTTGGCGGAAAATCGCATAGCCAGCCGGACTTTTAGAGAGAAAAAAAAAAACAGCAAAGCCGACTCTTTTTCGACGTCACGTGGATAACAGAGAAAGAGCTGGAGCGGGTAAAAGCAAAGGAGACGAATTTCGCTGGAAACAAAAAAACATGAAAAAATCATAGCGGCGGTGTGAAAACGAGAAATACTGGTGGCTAGCAAAATAAAAATAGGCGGAAGTGAAAAAAAAAATCATTAAAGCGATAGGGACGCAAGCAACAAAACTTTGGTGTGAAAATACGACAATTTCTTGATAAAAATAATCTTTATTATATAGACACCGATGAAATACCAGGATTTCTCCACTAACGAAAATTTGGTATCCAGTGAAGATTCAATTTTTATCCTTCGCACGTGAAGATATCGCGGTTGTTATGCAACACAGCATTTCCCCATCTGTGTCTATATAATAAACAGAATATTACATGCCCGCGCGTGTATACGAATTTTATCTTCGAGTGATCAACTCGATATTTCACTCGCGCTCACCCGTGAGGTATCGAGTTGAACACTCGAAGATAAAGTTCGTATCCACGATCGGGCATGTAATACCCTCTATGTATCTAGGAAGTTTCACGTTTTAGTCGTGAAAAAAAAAAAAAACAGCAATGGAATGTTCAAGAAGTGCGCTGCGGGTGCAAAAGAGTTACACAAATTATATGTATTGCTTTTGTTGCCGTTCTTATTGCCGTCTCATTAACGATAGCTTCGCTTTTAACCCTGGCTTATTCTATATTTTTTTAATGTTTTTTTAATATTTTTACTACAGCAATACCTTGGTCAAAAATGGCGTTAACAACCACCAGACCCAGAAACCGAAGACAGGTTTTAAATGACACTTTAATTAGCGTCACAATACATGACGTAAGAAAAGAATTCACAAAACAGTTTCAAAAACTAATGCCCCTTAAGTACTGTAAGTCAAGTGAGAAGATATGTCCTGCAGGACCCCCCGGACTCCCTGGTCCAACAGGGGCAAAAGGGCAACGTGGCAGGAGGGGGATAAAGGGAAAGAAAGGGCCTAAAGGTCCAATGGGACCACCTGGAAAGTCTGGAGAAACAGGAATGACAGGACCTACCGGACCGAGAGGAGAAAAGGGAGAACCTGGGTCAAAGGGCATGCTGGGAACGAGAGGAGAAAAGGGAAACAGTGGAAATCCTGGGACAAAGGGCATGCCGGGACCGAGAGGAGAAAAGGGAAACAATGGAAATTCTGGGACAAAAGGCATGCCGGGACCGAGGGGAGCAAAGGGAGACAAGGGAGATCCTGGGCCAAAAGGCATGCCGGGATCGAGAGGAGAAAAGGGAAACAGTGGAAATCCTGGGCCAAAAGGCATGCCGGGACGGCATGGAAGTCCTGGGAAATCAGCGTCTGCTCCACAAGTGATGTTGTCATCGGCAGAACTGACAGGGGATGAAGGAGGAAATACGGCTTTTTATTGCACGGTAGGAGGGAATCCGCCCCCTACCGTCGAATGGCATTGGATCGTCTGATGCTACTGGGAAATTGTCTGTTCGAGGTAAAAGGAGTATTTAACTTTGAAGTCTGTTATATATATAGTCTGTTATTTACGTTATTGTCTTTTATTCTTTACTCTGGATTCTAACATCTTACACGCAAGGGCACAAGAACCGTCCGTCATCATTTTTTCCTTATTTCAGGCCTCCCAGTGTTTATTAAATTTCCACCATCACTGGCCGCGCCAGTGCAACACACTACCTTTCAAGTTACTTGTCAAGCAGAAGGTTTTCCTCGCCCCACAGTAAACTGGAATAGAGTGGGAATGCCTTTGCCAGCTGGAAGGGTTGAAGTAAACCAAGGTACGCTAACCATTAAGAACTTGAGTCCTGCTGACAGCGGTTTGTACGAGTGCATTGCGACGAACATAATGGGAACAAAGAAGACCAGAACCAACGTGGCAGTGCAACGGCAACGGCAACGGCACTCAGGTCTGTACATACATTATTTACACCGACATATTACCCGATCCATAAACTTCCTTTACGCGATTTTGGTTAAGGTTCAGTCATCATGTAAGCCCGGGAACGAGGAAGGAACGAAAAGAATCGTCTCCTCCCAGTCCCTTAAGGCTAAAAGCGTCTTAGCTCTTTCGCGCTCATTTATGTGAGAACTTGACGGGTCTATCGCTGGACGATAAAATGGATTTGCACAAATTTTCTCCAAGTAAATATGTTGCAAAAGTGTAAATACTGAAGAGTAAATCTGGGGTAAACCTGGTAAATGCCACATTTGCATGCCTAATAACACAGATCGTAAATAAGTAGCAAGTGTGGGTTATTACTTGGTGTTACGGTGCAAGAATTTTATAATATGCTAATTAGTATATGCCAATGTCTATGTAATATAATGGGAGTATCATGGGTTGCCCCAGATTTACTCCTCAGTTTTTGTCTTCATTTTTGCGACATATTGCTAACATCAAATTTGGCCAAATCCTGCCTTGGTTGGTTTTCGTTTTCATTTGACACTTAACTTAACTTTAACTTTAACTTAACTTTAACTTTATTACATATCACACACTTGGAAGAAAAATACATGAGACCAGCCAAAGCCGGGGGGGGGGGCTTAAATGGCCTAGGGTCAGCGAAAAAAAAAGTGATTAATTTACATGAATAAAAGAAGCCTTTAACTAAAATAATTACAATGCTATTAAATCAAAAGAAAGGAAAGGACAGTCAGAAAACTCACAACTGAAATACAATACTTGACAACTAATTTCAAATACTTAAACAACTAATTATTCCTACTATAAACCATACAAACAAATGCCACTAGTATAGTCCCATAAGGTATACAAAATGGGTGATAAGAGACTTGATTAAGCTATTAACAAGTTTAACTAAGTTTAAGCTTGATTAAACAGGTAATTATCAAATACTAATTATGACTACTAAATGTACAAACGCGTGATAAGGTATACAAATGATCCATAGGCTAATCAAATACTCAGAAAAATGTAATCTTAACTTTTTTTTTTTTTAAAGTTCCTTACTGTGAGGCTATTGCGTACAGTTAACGGAATATCATTCCAAATAATAGGAGCTTGCCAAGTGATAGCAAATTGATACTTATGACAGGTTTTATGCAGATTAAAACGTGAACGAGTCATATAATCGTGATATTCAGAATCAAAATGAAGGATCGAGGAGACAGCAGTAGGTAAAAAGCTATTAAAATGTGAGAATACAAAACAGGCAACATGGAATTTATAGACAGAGTGGAGTGACAGAATATTATGCTTAGGTAAAAGAGGCTTAGAGAATGTGAGCGGAGGAGAAAAAGTAATTATACGAATGGCTTTCTTTTGAAGTACATAAAGCGGTTCAAGGTAGGAAGCAAATGTAGATGTTCATATTAAACTATAATAATTGATGTAAGGTAAGAAAAGAAAAGAATCTTTAATTGCGCTTGTCGTCCGCTTTTGCCGTTTTGAGTCCACATGGACCCATGTATAGAACAAGTATCATCAGCTAAATCCGTAGGAGTCTACATCGATCAGACATTATTAACTTGGGAGTGCCATATTAACAGTGGTTGTAAAAACATTGCTTCTGCCATCGGTGCAATTAAACGTATGCGGCACTTATCTTATGTAATGTTTTGATCATCGTTTATAATAGCCTTGTCCAACCTCACTTTGATTATTGTATTGTGGTGTGGGGAAACTGTAACAAGGGCCTTAATTTCTGAAAAGCTTCAACGCCTTCAAAATCGCGCAGCCAGCATTCTAATGTCTGCCGCGACCTATGACAGTAATTTGGAAGATGTGTTCCGGGCATTAGGGTGTCATGAACTCTGTCATCAAAGATTAGAAAAGAAATCTATTATGATGTTTAAGACCTTACAAGGGATGACCCCCGAATATCTACGATCAAGATTTGTTTATCGCGGCAGCGCTAGCTCTTATTGTTTGAGGAACACCGAAAAAAAAACTAGTTCTTCCACAACCGAGCACTCAATTTTTTAAAGAGTAGGTTTTCATACAATGGAGCTCAGTTGTGTAACAACTTGTCAAAGAAAATTCGGTCAAGCAACCTCCTAAAAGATTTTAAGGTAAAAAAAGTCGCCACAGTTTTAAGTAAAGTTTCAGTAAAGTTTTTTAGTATGATTATTTAGACAAGGCTTCATAAAAAGTACTTTTTTACTTTTTTTAATATTTTGTATCTATTTTATTTGTAGTTAGGAAGATAGGAAGTTAGCTATTATATTAAATAATGATGGAAATACCGTGTATAAATAAAGATATCTGTCTATAGAGATGGCGGCTAAGAAGGCGACCATTGTTGGTGACGTCACAAGTTTCCAGCTGCGCAAACGTGACCCATAAAATATACCTCATATTGTTAAGAAGATTAAAGGCATTCTACTAACGGTCAGTGTAAAACGCAGACTGCGGATTGCAGACTGCAGACTACTGACCAGGGGTAACTGAAATACAGACTGTGTGTAAATTCAGGCTGAGAGTAAAACGCAGGCTGGGTACAAAATGCAGAATGAAGACTGTGGACATTTTAAACATTTGTGCTCCTTCTTCTCCAAATAGGTGAAATAGCTACAATTGTAGCTGGTATCAGTTACGTACCTCGCTTCCTAGTCGAAGTACATTGCACATTCGCCAAAAGTTTCAATGAACATCCAAACAGCTTGTCTGGGTACCTTGATTTGCAATACTTTCATAGGAAGTCATCCAAATTTCCTGCAGAACATCTTTCTTTGTTGTTGGAATGATTTACTCCCTTTTTTTGTCGCCATAATTCTTTTTGTACAGTATTTTGGGTCAGCAGTTTTCATTTAAGCGTAAACATCGTAGTGATGTATCAATTCGCGGTCACTCGATTTGAAAAATTGGCGTCTAAAGTTGAAGCGTGAGGTCTCTCGGTCGGAAAAAACGTTCAAGGTTGCGATTATGTTTTCGGGTCGTCGACGACGTTCCAGAGAAGAAAGGAATGGATTTGTGAAAGCAGGTGTCTTCAAGTAAGTGTTCGTTTACATGTATTTGCGGGAGTTTTTTTTGCCCTTAAACCCTTCCACGACTTCAGTTTATGCTCGGTCTGCATTTTACCCCAGCCTGCGTTTTACTCTTAGTCTGCAGTCTGCATTCTTCGTTTTACACTGACCGATTCCACTAAAGATAAAATCGTTTCGAAATACTGCAACAACTCAAAAACTCCGGGGAGGGGTCCACCCCCCCTCTCCCCTGTACCACGATGGGGATATGACAAATTTGAGTGTACGTCCGAGGGCTTTCTTTGCTTCTATTTCCTGCTAAGCTGAAATCCGACAAGACTTGACAGACTGACCTGGTGCTAAACGGTTAACTAGTTCTAACGCGGCCATATTTCATTGGGTTACAGGTTTGGAAGACTCTGTTATTGTGGGAAACAAAAAAAACTATTTGACCTCATTAGGCAACTGGCTAGCACCTGTGGCTAAAGGCATAAATTCTCTCTGGAAGCGCTGTTGGCGTGCATCCGTGGACGGTTGGGCTGGAAGAACATTTCACTCACGATGTGATGGCAAGGGACCGACTGTAACAATAATAAGGGTTGGGAGATATATCTTTGGCGGATATACCAGTAGGTCATGGGGTAAGTAAGCATTGTAAACAGAGATAATTTTAGCTCCGGTTTCTAGCTTTGTTTTAAAGCATAAATTAAACAAAGTTATTCAGTGAGCATCTGTTCATCAAAATGATCTAGCATTTGGATGCACAGATTCAAAGGGCGTTTTTCACTTTTCTTGGATCTTGTTCTAGCATTAATGCTCTTAACCCATAACCCGTTAGATAAAGCAAGTAACTAGCCCAGAATTAGTATGGGGAAAAAAGGGGTAAGGGATGAAGTACTGCTAATATGGACAGCAGGTCACTTTTCTCTACATATTGGTGTAACAGTCCGAAATCTACAAGGGGAGAGGTGATAATCCTCTCTAGGGGTTGATAATCCCCCAAGGTTGTGAGTAGAGGTGATAATCCCCCTTGGGTACTGGAGAGGTGGAAAGACCTTTCTAGATGTCTAATTCCCCGGTTTAAGGAGTAACAAGAGTCTATGGGGCAAAGTGTGACCTGTATGGGAGCACTTCATCCCGAACCCATGTTTATTAATTGCCAACGACTCTCAATACAGATATCATCACTTATTTAAGCTAGGATTGCGTGCCTGCTGCCCGTCAGGAAAAACCCTCAATTATTTTTGAGGGAAACCTGAACCCTCCCGAAAGCAGAGCCAGACACTTAACATGAACCTCGAGGGAGAGAGGTTAGACGAAAATATATTAATAGAAGTTGTAAGTAAAGGACAATTAAACTCTTATCAACTTAATAATCAAAATAAGGCACAGAGTAACTAAGTGCACAAGCATGTTAGGATGCCGGGAACGATGATTCCCCTCAGTAGAAACCCCACCTCTTTTCTGCCATATCTTCTTGACAATTGCCAGTTGATTCAAAGTGTAAACAACAAAGATCAGTAGTTCGTATGACTGCAAAAAGTATAAGCAGCTTCTTAAATTTTTCAACAAGAGAAAAGACCTCATATATAAAACCTTAAGAAAACCAGGAGAGAGAATCAAGCAGTAATAAGGGAGGGTGGGATGGGATTTTGTTCCACGAAGAGAAGAATATGAAGTGCTATTTTTCTGAGCTAGGCGCGAAAATATAGGCATCAACTGTACATGTGATAGCTGGCATCTAATTGGCTGAGCGAAACAATTAGTGTGACAGGGGTCACATGCAGGAAGTGACCCCTGAAAGGAAGTGAGCTGATTCCACTACTGGTAAGGGCGGGTTTATGGTTATCACATTAACTCCAATTTATCCTGTAGTATAAATTAGCTTCATTCCTCCCCTTATCCCCCCGCATCACCACCATTTTCTGAATAAGGACGATTCTTATCATTAGTTGGCTTTGTTTGAAACTAATTTAAAAAGTACTTATCCGGCCATAAATATCAGGATCTGCTCTAGGCTCTAAACTGAAAATGACAAATAATTAAAATTAGTACAGCATGTTAAATCAGACCAATTGTGCTGAGCTGGTAATTAAGGCTTTCAGAAAGCATTTATAGATTCAATTTCTGTACCAACAGTTTGTACTTTTAAGGCGATGAAGCCTGTTACATCAACTGCATGTACTTTGATAAGAAAAACTGTGTTAAACGAAACTTCAAACGTCAAACTTCGTGGCAAAACAGTGTGTAAACTGCGTCTGAGTGAATTTACCATTTGATAGTCCGTCCGTTAATTTCTTCAGTTTAAACATAATGAAAACAAATATTTTCTGGCATGAATAGTTTTTTGTAGCTCAATTAATTGAAACTCTTTCCGTTAAAAGACTTGACAGATTTGGTCTAAAGGTTATTTGTTTAGTTTTGTTTGTTGATTTGTTTTTTTTTGTTTGTTATTTTTTTTTGCATTTTTTTTTTTAATTTTGGTTTTCAAATGTTTGTACTTGTCCTACAAATACAAAGTAAAATAAATAAGAAAATTTCTTTCCAGGTTTGTCTTTAGTGTCAATCCACTTGACGGGTGGTTTAATTTCTGAAGTGAGTATCAGAACAAACGGCGCTAATTACACTTGGTTCCATCGTTAATTTCTCTCTGATAGATTCCGGCAGTGGGCACCATTACGACTCCAAAGCATTTTTGTTTTCACTAGTGAACAAACCAGGGTGGGCACCGGTTAAACTGCCTCAGGCAGGGAGATATAGTTCAAACAGAGCACATTCCATATACGTTGACTCATCGAGTGGGCCTTCATTCGGAGGAGGAAGTGACAGTTACATTTCCAACTACGCGTCATCCAATAGCAATTCATACAGCAACCTTGGCTACACTTATAGCCCACCGAGCGGGTACAGCTGGGGCAGCACCTTCGCCAAAACATTCCTGGCAGGATCGCACAACTTCACACCAGACGAAGTAGAAACTTTTTACGAAACAAACAAGAAATAATAATTAATAATGGGCCACATGAACTTTGATATTAGTATTCCATAAGTTTCAAACATTAAGTTAAAAGTCGCTAGAACGAATTCATTATATACTTTCCAGTATGTGCTAAACGAGTGGAAAAAAAGAGGAAATAAGACATTAATTATAATACAGTTCAATTCAGCTGTGAAAAGATGGTTATCTTGATCCAGGCTTTCCCTTTCTAACTGAAATAAAAAATACATATTTAGTGATATAATATAATGATATAGTTACCGTATTTACTTGAAATAACACTTTCCTCAAATAAGCGCCGCACCTTCTCAACAACAGTGAGAAAGGTATTGGTCATTTATTGCCATTGTTTCACAAAAAGGCGTTCAGAAAACCTGGTTGGAGAGTTCTTAAGATTTTTATTTGAATAAATTGTGGGCCCTAAAAACTGTCGGAACTTTCTAGAATTTCGAGAAAATGGTCCCCTGGTCGTTCTGTTATTCGCTGAGAACTAATCTTCCTTTCCCCCGCTAACGCCTCCTTTTCCCAGTTCACGTGATTATATTTTCGCATGCCTTACACTCACGCTTCATCCCTACTATCTGAGAGCCTAGAACAGTGACAATCACTCCCTGACCAGTTTTGCTTCATGAGTATTATTCATCGTGTTTTTTTAGGATTTCACAAAAAAATGTATGGAACGTCCTCCATTGATCGAGCGTGCATTGATTGCCTCACATCACACAGTTTTTCACAAATCCCATTTGTTCACCTCGTTTGCCAAGACGACTGATTAATCTCCAAGGCGCTTGCTAAGTTTCCTGATTCCTCTCCCATTACTTTCCCGTTCAGAATATTGGAATGAATCACAAAGAGGAGAATTGTTTCGCTTAAAATCCCTTGCTCGGCGGTGTTTTGATCACAAACGCGCTGTTATAACTTTGCCAAACCGCCAGGGGAAAAGGTAGGACAATGACGAGAGAAGATTTTGACAAAATAAGCAAAATAGAATAATTAATGATTTAAGTCCTACATTAAGAAAATAGAGACGATGAGAAAACATTAGAAAATCGCACTCGTTCTTAGTATGCCTATGGCGCAAAATCAAAATTACCGAAATACCGCTTTAAAAAAAACCTCAATACCGCAATACCACAAATCCCTATGTCCCTCTCTACTTACAAGTACTTAAGTATACCATACAGACGGTTGAGCGGTACTAGGTCTAGAAGTCCGCTCTCAGAATCAGGTAAGAAAAAAATCATCTGGCACCCACACAGGGTAACATTTTTTTTTTATTATTTTTTTTTTTATGAATTTGAAGGAACGCAGAGGTCTGTCGGTTTGAATTTAAATAAAATTAAATAATTGAGTCAATCCTGAGTAGTCTTTACGTACCCTATGATCGACTTGCAGTCAACTTTCACTGCATTTGCTGCGTCTAGTTAACAGTATATGGTTGACTTTAGAAACGAGTTCAGCTGTGACCAGTTGGTTCTAAACTGCTTTAGGCTCGATTACCAGCCGCTGTCTGTTCTCGAAGTGGAACAAAAATCACTCGGGGGGTACTCCTCATACGCCCAAAAGGGTTACCTTTTTCAGGCTTCAGGAATATGAAAGGGTACGGATTTCACCAGTTGAGGCATATCAAAGGGTAGGGAAATCTGTCATTTGGGTCTGTGAAAGGGCCCAAAAGAGCTAATAGATGAATTTTATGGCTTTATAAGGTCAAGAAAACGTTAGACGAAAGGGGTACATTTTTCGTGAAAAGTGGTATATAAAAGGGTAAGGGGTTGGACCTCGCGGCGGAACCTCCCTTAATAAACATTTGTTGAGTACCCCCTCCCCCAGGACAAAACCGAACCCAGTCGAGTCTACAACTACTAATGCCCCGCTATACGGGGTTTTTAACTAACTACTTGGCCCGGGGAACGGGGAAATTAGCTGTGTTTTAACACCAGGCCAAAGTTAAATTCCCCGCCAAGTTCCGGGCTCAGAGGACCAGAGTTTCAATTGACTGATACATAATTAGCCTCCCTACAGCCGCCCCCTCCACTCAGAAAAAAAAAATCATATTTTTCTCCAATTTTTTGTCCGGGGAGGGCTATTTAGGGGTTGGCTGTACACAGTACGTGCGGCCTCTGATGCCAACAGAGCGGCTGACACGCAAGAGCAGCAGAGAGATTCTGATCAAGTCTCTTGAGAGATATACGCGAGTGAAGTAGAGTTCTTTACAAATAAGTTTAAAATGATGATGCTGACATTGACACTATACTCTTTAACTGAAAGAGCTCGTCGGTTAATAACTCGCCGCTAATTACCCATTAAAGGCACCTCTTTTTTTTCCTTTTTTTTTTGGAAAGGAACGGCTGTAATTGTTCATCGGTCATCGTTAACTTGGCCCTCATCCCCTCCCTTCATAACGAGGACTACTACAGCTCAGGCTTAAAAGAAAAAATGGCTGGTCAGCAACACCCCTGACAATTAGAGACAATTAGAGAGAGTGACTAATTAGCGTTCCCGCTTTGATTGGACAAGGTTAAGGATGCTGCATAACTAATGGCATACAATGTGAGATTATATTAAGCAAAAAACCTGAAATTTTTTTTGAGAAGCCAGAGTGTACAAGATATTGTTCAATCCCTGACACCTGCACTCAAACATGACGATGTCTGCAATATTAGATATCACTGCTATGCTGAAACCCCGAGCACATGTTACACGAAGTGGTAAGAGAGAGGACTGGGTCAACAGCCAACAGCCAGGGCAGCTCGCTTTACGTCAACGGTAGTAACATTATTAAAGCTGTCAATTGTTGTTTATGGTTATTTATATCCAAAGGGGCCGTGATTGACCTTATAAGCAAACTTTGGTAGAAAGGGTTTTTCGTTCTTTCTTTCTTTCTTTCACTCTCTTCTTTTAGTAAGCACAAGAGCCATTATGGCTGTTGGTGAGCAAGGGAAGATAAAGAAACGTACATACCATGATTGGTTGGTTCATTAATTGAAGAAAGTAGCCCTGCCGGTGCGTGCCCATTTTGCGGGAGTGGACGACCAGCTGGAGGACATGCAAGTAGCCGTGATTAGAGCTGGTCTAAGACGCGAGGAGATGCGCTGTATTCAGAATTTTGGCACCCTCGCGCCGGGTGGACTCAATCAAGATTTCTCTTTGACGTGACTTGCGCGCGCGCACACTCGCTTGTTTTTACGCGCACATTTTCAAATCTCAAAATTTTCTGCTACTACGAACTGACATATTTTCCCTGATGAAGGCGGCATTGCCTAAACGTCGGAGTTTTATTTGCAATTATCGGCGTTAAACTTACCACCTTCCCACTTTTAACACACACAAACGCTATGTAGGAACCGCCTTTATTATCCGCTTTTTAAGTGTGTTTGTCGGCTGGGAGAACTTTCGGGGAGGATGAGGTGCACTGAGGGTCATGGGAAGGGACGAAGGAAAAATAGCGACAGAAGTAACCGAATTCCTGAAATGTTTCTGATTAAAATAATCTAACGGGAGTTCTTTGATTAACGGTTTTAGGCTTTCGAGACCTTTTCGCAATTAATTAAACTGCTCTGTGCTTTAAAAACGCGAATCCACAACGAAATTACCAGTCTTGAATTTTGTTGTATTTATTTATTTCATTTTATTTTATTAGCTTCGCCAACATAATATAATAAATACATTCAGGTAATCAAACAAACTAACAAAGAAAAAGTGGCAGGAATTCCACAAAAGCGTGAGTCAGTTACTGCGGAGTAGTCATAGAGGCTACAATAAGGACTAACCAATCAGAGCGAAGCAAAATTTTGGGAGAACCAATCAGAATCGAGCATTTAGCCCATGTGACCAAATTGACGTCACAAGCTCCCAAATATGGTCATTTTGTTCACGTGACCCCATGGGGTAAAGAACACGCACACAAGAGGTGGATCCACATGCTTCACATAGTTTTATTGAACGTACCGCGTAAAGCCTGGTGACAAGTGGGACGCATGCGCAGTTCAACCCCAGGTTTTTCCCCTGCGCAGTCACGTGAATGGGATCGTAGGCACATGCGCAGACCACCCAACGACTCCCCAGGTCCCCCGCATTCATGTGAGCACATGTCCGACTAGACCTACTACGCATGCGCAAACACTCAAACGAAGCCCCAGGCCCCTCGCATCACCGGAAGTCAATAAAAACACACTGTATAGAGGTCAACATCATTTAATACAAAAAACAAATCTCGAGAATGCCCTGAGTTACATCCGGGACGTGTGTGACGCCCGAATGACGTCACGCCCATTGTTTTACATGAAATACACATTGCGAAGAAAGGGTGTTTGCTTCCTGGCTGAAGGAGTCATGAGCAATGGATTAGGCCATGGAATGTAGTGGTTGAAACCTATCAATGACCAAGGTTTGAGTAAATGACGACGTAAATCGAAACGGGTGGCTGAAACGAAAGGAGGGGTGATTAGAGCCAAGAAGCAAACTGAATGAGAAACAGTCGACCATTGCCACGCACGAGGCGGTGGGTTATTGTCCAATGATTGACTGGAAAACAAAAAAGACTTAATTACAAAATGGGACGTGTGTGACGCCCTCGTGGTGTCACGCCCGGGAAAGATTGTATACAAAAC